GTCAACGCCTTCTCCCGTTGTGCGAATGTATGCCACTGGGTGAGCTACATAGGAACCTGGCCATAAACGTCGCACCAATTCCGATACAGTACGGAACTCGATCACGTTGGACGGTACGTCCACAGTCTCCCTAGGGACGTAGTCTTCTGGGCCAACCGTCTGGACAGTAGGGATGCCCTCCGAGATAGACAGCACATCAACGTAGCGGAACTCGGTGAGTTTCTTAACGTGCACAGAGCCCAGGAAGGCGAGTATACGGCGGTTGATGGCCATTGTTGAAACCAGAAACGGGTCGCTTGAATAGGATAAGAGTCGAACTTCGTAGGGAGATTGAAATTTCCAAAATGAGACTACTATGTAGCTGTGCCCCACCGGCTACGCTATTTCGAGTTGCACTGTTGCAGCATGCGACGGCATCGTTCACAGAATGACATTCTTGGTTTCGCCTCCAGTCTTGACGTAACTCCTTCTTGCTGCTGGAAATAGGAGTACCCAGTCTAAGCGGATACGTCCACTTTCCGGTTTTTTTTTTTAATTTGTTCTTAATTGCTCCATTGGTGTCTGTCACGATAACACCGCCGACTTGTTAGCTTTACGCGGGTCTTTTTCGCCGGGAAGAAAGGAATTCGGCATCTCTCAGGCAAAAGTTAATGCCCAGCACCACAGTCTCACAAACGACACTGTGCAGGTCGATGGACATGTCGGCTGCAGCAGACTTGTCCGAGAGCATGCTGATAGAGACGGCAACAACGCGCATGGAGAACTGGTCGGAATCCGGCTCCGATGCGATGACACCACCTGGCGTGGCTGAGCTTAGCCCGTACGGTGTCAACTCGTTGTGTGGACCCGTCGCACGCTTGCCAGCACGTAACAGTGAACAGAGTAAGTTGTAACGATTGGAGTTCGGGTTCGTGCTGTGGTAGCCATCGGTGACAGTCATGAGCGGAGCCGAATTTACACCACTCTCTCCGCGTTTTGAGGTAGCGCTGTCTGGATGTCTGGCGAGTGATCGCCATTGGATGAAAATGATGTTCCCTTGTAAACCTTCCGGAATGCTGGAGGAACTAACTGCTCATTCCACATACACATCCAGTCCGTTCACTGCTCAGTCCAATCTCTTGATTTCAAATCCGCTGAAAAGTTTGACGACTCCTGTAGATGTAGATTTGTTGCGTGAAGGTTGAAGACCAGTTGGGCACATGACAGCAGTCTTGTAATCTCTTGGCCGACGAGGTGGCTGGTGCTGTGACCACCTATCCATGCACTCGCAGACTTGTTATCAATCCAACACCAAATGTGAATAGGCCCAAACCCCGTTTGGCGTAGGAGCTGTCACTTTGGACGTTAAATGAGTATTGCAAATACAGTACTTAAAGCCTTTCGAATGCTGATGCTAAACAGCGATGCATCATAGGGTTTCGACGACCCGTTAATTGGTAGTTATTCATCATCCATTCGTGTCACGGGGCAGCTTCAGCACGTAGAGCAGAAGGACTTGTCGAAGTGTTGGTGAAAGAAAGAGTGAACATTAATGAGCAGTTAGAAGAAAACTAAGCTAGAAAACTCTATACTGATGCCTAGAACATAGTACAGGTTGGCAATTGCCAACCGTTTCATAAAGGCAAGTTGCCCTTATTAAAATGCATATTATGCTTTATATGATTCGTGAGTTAGAGACGAGTCTAACTTCATCATATCGGAAACGAATATATTGCCGACCTGCAGGGTAAAGAACAGCCACGTCTTCATTGCCCACCTCCCTAACCCTTCTCGTTTTGATTGGTCGACAGGATTATGACAATTCGTATGATTGGTTATCTTACAAAATAAAATTGATGACTGGTTATTAATGCTCATACTAAAACCTAGTAACGTCGGAGAATTGATGATATTCACCCATAACTAGATTGACATCTGTAGCTAGCACACCCGCTATCAGACCGGTAGGAAGTCTAATCGCAGTGCCATTCTGCTGTAGTATTTGGATCCACATCAGATCTTGAAGCACTTCACAGGAAATGTAAATGAGATAAACGGCTCCATAGACAATGTAAGCGATGTATAAACACTCGTGTCAATCTACAACACAAACGAAGCTACCACAACAAGCCTAGAAGCTTCTCTAGCTGGTAACGTGACGAGAGCGTTGTACGAAGAACTTCGTTTAGCCTTTAAAGTGCTTTCGTCACTTTGTCAGGGAGAGGG